ATTCCACAGGCAGTTCGCTTCGCTTCACACGCGCACGCCCCCACGGGATACCTCCTCCACACTAGAAGTCCTCGTCAAGCGAGAACTTCTTCACGGTCCCCTCCGTGCTCATCACACCAGCTTTCTGATACTCGCCAACCCTCTTCTCGAAGAAGTTAGTCTTTCCTTGAAGCGAGATCATCTCCATGAAGTCGAACGGATTTGTAGCGTTGTAATGCTTTTCTTCACCAAGCGCAATGAGAAGACGGTCCGCAACAAACTCGATGTACTGTCCCATCAACTCGGAGTTCATCCCAATCAAACGTACAGGCAACGCATCGCAAATAAACTCGTGCTCGATGTCCACCGCATTCGTGATGATCTCCAGCACACGCGACCGAGGTAGTTTGTTCTTGATGTGGTGAGAGTACAACAAACACGCAAAGTCCGTGTGCAACCCCTCATCGCGCGAGATCAGTTCGTTGCTGAAGGTTAGCCCAGGCATCACGCCGCGCTTTTTGAGCCAGAACAGTGCACAAAATGACCCTGAAAAGAAGATACCCTCCACAGCTGCAAACGCGATCAGGCGCTCCTGGAAACTGCTCTCGCTCCCAATCCATCGTACAGCCCACTCGGCCTTATTTTGGATACACGGAATCGTCTGAATCGCGTGCAGCAAACGTAACTTCTCATCCTGATCCATAATGTACGTGTCCAGCAGCACCGAGTACGTCTCTGAGTGAATATTCTCCATCATCAGCTGAAACCCGTAGAACGCACGCGCCTCTGGTATTTTCACGTCCGTCATGAAGCGCTGCGCGAGGTTCTCGATGACGATGCCGTCGCTTCCCGCGAAGAACGCAAGCACGTGCTTGATGAAATGTCGCTCCCCATCGTTCAGCTTCACCCAGTCCACCATATCGCTGCCCAGGTCGATCTCTTCCACCGTCCAAATACAGCTCTCCTGCTCCTTGTACTTTCGCCAGATGTCATGGTACTGAATCGGGAACATGACATACCGGTACGGATTTTCCTTCTGAAGGGGCTCTTCTTCGACGTTGGCTTTGAATTCCGCCATCGTTGTTGGCGTATTTCCAACAGGTAAAGGCACCGACTTGCAGAGCTCCATGTTGCTCAAAGGCAAATTGTATTCACCTGTGGACATCGTGGGATTGTTCTAAGACTTATCTTAAATCAAGTTGAAGTTTGTTAAATATTAGTATCGAATCTAGGTGTTTGAGGTGTAACAAATATATTGACACATAATTGAATAAATATAGGTGAATTTACCAATGACATGATTTAGAACTAAAAATCGCAGGCATCTTGTGCTCTTTTACTATTAGTTTGATATAATGACTTATTATGTTATGGGAAATTTATTATTCCTATAGTGATAGAACTTGAAGTTTATTTTTTTATACTCAATTTTTGTGTACATGTACGAGTTGTTGGTCAGACTAGCCTATGCATCTCGTTTTAATACTTTTTGTTGATGCATTACTTTGTCACTTCGAGGGGAATATCACACACAACATCTATACACATTGGATCCACAAGATTGTCCACTTTTTTAAGGGTAGCAGACCTTTTAACTTTGCGTTTACTTTTAGAAAGCCTATCGGGTGCCTCATCACTGAGCTTTGAAGCCACAAGACGAAAGGGACCTGGTGCGGCCCGTGGAGGGCGAATCGCCGTGCAGCGAATGCAACCCGGCTCTACAACTACCAACACTACCTGACCCGCAACAACCGGTTCCTCGGTTTGTCGACGAACAAGAACCTCTATTGAAGATGTGACCTTACGAAACGGCATCTCTCTTTCACATAACTCCTTCTCCCCCTCACGAGTGGCTACTTTGGAGTTGGAGAGATCAGGATCCGGATCGGCCTGGATGTGTGAAGATCGTTGCCGCTTCCCTTCACCATGACCATCAGTTTCCAGTTCATCACTGGATTCTAAACGTCGGACCTTTTTATCTGCGCACCGCAGCGAAGCCTTTGTTATATTTGTGACGTTCTGATTTAAAGGTACACAAACGGAAAAGTAATTATCGAAATCAGACGCTTCGGCAACCCCAAACAACATTCCATGGTGAACCCTCGCTAATCTTAGCGTTAAGGCGACGTCGATGCGCAAATCCCCACGATCGTTGGCTTGCTGAACCGTTTCTGCTAAAACCCGTATACCGTGTAGATGAACTATAAAGTAGGGGCTCTCCCCGGTAACCCCCTCTCGCACTCTTGAAGTTGTCAAATCCGCAGACGAGGTGAGTAACAACGACACCGTAGGGGAGGAAGCCGAACACGAAAATCCCATCACAAAGTTATCCTCTGATCGTTCCTCACAAATGGGTACCCTGTTCGAGAGTACGGAATACGGTTTATGCACAAATCTTCGCAGCACCTCTTCGTGTAGGCCGTCTTTCATGTTTTGTGTCGCCGGAAATTCCACAGTAACAGTTTCGGATACAGTCATGGGGTCGTAGAAAAAGGCCCTTTCAAGGGAGAAAAATAACGATTTTGAATCGTTCAGGTTCTGATAGAAAGAAACCCCTGGCTTTTCGGTCCCTCTTGGCATTTATAACTTTTGAAAGTGTTCTAAAAACCTTTTATTTAATAGAATTGATTTGTTGGGGCCACAAAAAAAAAACGGATAGAGGTAGGTGCGTGAATTTAAACAATAAAACTAAATTTAAAAAAATACAATAAGGATTGAAATTTAGATCAATATCGACCATCTTGATTACTTCACACAGAAAACGGCAAAATGGAAAAAAACGAAATCAATGTCAATTAGAAATAAATTTTAGGCCTCCTATTGGTCTTTCACGCTTAGATTATACCATCATGTTGATCTTTCTTCCTCTTTAGAAATGAAAGTACACTGGTTGTATAAAGTTATATCTTATTATTTTGTAGTTATTCGATGTGGCCTCACTCTACCTTTACCAAGTCTTTCAATACAATAAAACAATTTATTTCCCTCCTGGTTGGATTTCAAATTATCTCATTGTATATCAGACGCAAATCATCACTATTTGGACTCTAGGAATCATTTAAGCATAGACATTAATTTCGTAGTCCAACAGTCTGCTTTCATCGTGTATTTTTCTTCAATTCAATTCTTCTCCTCTTTTTCTCTGCCGCTTCGGTTTCCAACATACAGGTATGAACAATTTTTTCAGGTGTTTCTTGCCAACATTTTAACGCGCAGTTATAATACTCATGTGTTAGCGGATCCCAAAACATGTTCCGCTCGAATGAGTAGTACATATCGCTCCGGTCGTGATATACCCAATCGTTGGCGCCGTCGATCTGCACGCCAAGCTCCGCCGCAGTGATGTAATCTGGATCAGAATCCCATCTGAAAAGATGAGCAAAAGCGCTACGGTGTTTACGCACGTATCGTTGCTCATCACAGTCATTATGCTGTGAATTGGTGATCTGACACTCCTCCGACCTCGTATGCCGTCCATTAACAAAAGGAGCAGCCTTACCTTTGTGAAAAAAATCACCCCATCGAGATTTGGGGCACAAAGCAGACTCGTGAAGGGCCTCTTTACCCTGAACAGAACCTAGAAGAGACGAAGACGTGTCCAAATGTTGCTCAGACAGAGCTCGTGTGGTGTTAAGACAATGAAGGGTATCAGAAGCCATGTGGCTCTCTTTGTTGGGGATAAAGTGGTTTTTATCTTCATTCAGAAAAAATACACGCATCTGATTTCTTTCACTTTTGGTACTTCTGAACCGTGTTTGACTGGGATTACCCATATTCTGAGCCCCATCCAATTGCCGAAGGTTCTGTGATGAATAAAGGGGTGAATGGGCGAGTCCCCCACTCTGACTCGATGTGTTGAAGTTTTTGTTGGTGTTAGGTAGATGACAGCCACTACCTTTTCCATCTCTCAGTGTGGCATTTGCCTGCGTTGGGAAAGTTTTGATTTCAGTGGACGTAATAAAGCTATCATTGTTGACTGTGTTGCTTGTGTCGTTGTCTCCATCAAAAAAAGCCTTGCTACTGTTGCGGTCATGAATATGTCGTTGAGCAGCTTCTTGTCCATACCGACAGCCTCGATGTCCCTCTAACTGTGCAGAAATTCTCTGAGATATCATATAGATGTAGCTGTACATACAGATTGACATCAATACACAGAATGTATTGATTCCAATTAGTGCACTATAAAGCCTGTAACCCCATCCATAATAGAGCTCACATCCTCGGCCTCTTTGGGTACTGAGTCCGCAAGCCTTGATCTCACACTGAACGGAATAAGAAAACAAAATAAGGTTGGTAGTGCCAGCGAACACACACAAACAAAGGAAGAGAATCGTCGCAAAGAGCATGCGTGATCGTGTTGGACGTCCTGCTATCCAAAAGATATTAAAAAGGGCAACAACTTGGCAAATAATATGGAAAATAGAGACCCCTAGCATTGCGAAGGCGTACTTAACCTGAGCACTTCCTTTTCCAGTAGATAACGCAATGGCCGGGAAGAAGCTTTCGTGTTTTTTAACTAGTGTGTACATTTTACACACGGTAAGCTGAAGTGGTTGATCCCAACAGTTCATAAAAAGGCTATAGCTCTCATATTTTTTGCCAAATCGCAGTATAAACCAACTCGATGTGCTCATACTGATAGCTAGAAATATGGTACTAAACGTATAAATAATAAGTAATATGATGCAGAAACGGCCTAGCACATTCACAGAGGAGTACTTTTGTCCTTTATATAATAAATATTTCTCCAGATTTGCCCATTTATACAGGTTTCTTTGAGATTCTGTCAGTGTGATGATGCTATATCCCATGCGGTGGTGCAATAGTAGCATCTTCGGCACCCCACCACTCTCGGCGCCATGCGATTTCTCCTTCCACGTCACGCCGTCCGACGCAACTCGCGCACGATGATTGGCGCTGTGGTGGTGACCATGGCTCTCCACGTCCTCCCCAGCGAACCCGTTGGGGACCAACTGAAAGGGGGAAACCGACCTATCCCCCACCGTCCGGCGATCCCTAGGC